CAAAGAGCCGGGACCAAACAGCCGGGACCAAAGAGCCGGGACCAAAGAGCCGGGATCAAACAGCCGGGACCAAACAGCCGGGATCAAACAGCCGGGATCAAACAGGTCTCTTTTACATGTTTGGTGTTCTTGGTTTGAGGCTCCACCATCGGGGCAGGGGTCAGAGCTTTGTGACCTGGCCTGGTGTCCCTCAGGGCTCCAGTCAGCGCCCCCTATGACTCTCATGTGTGAGCCGACAGCGTGTTGCTGAAGAATGAAACTCACGCTGGGCGTGTGCTTCAGCACTAACCGCATGGCGCTGTGACGCTCACAGGAAGTGAAACACCGCTGAAGGTCCATTTACCTGTTGCTTTTCGACCCACCCCCACCCTCCCTCTGCAGGTGTTTTTCCCCTCACCTGTTTGTAGTTCTTCACATCCCAGACCTCCATCTGACCTCGCAGGTTACCGAAGCCGGCCAGGATCAGGATGTGGCCCTGAGGGCTACAGACAGGGAGACAGACAACATCCAGCAGTTTAAGGTTTGACATCCAGCCTGATTTCCCCTCACAGTTAAAAGCTACCAATCAGGTGCAGCCTCTCACAGGAAGCATCCCATCCTACTGACTACACTAGGTCAGCAGGTTTGGTAGCCGTTACCCACCGAGGAGCCAACCACGTTTTCTGCTGCGGTGATACGACGCTTTTCCATCACGTACCGACCTCCTCCTGAAGACGCCGTATGGCTGAGCCCCCGTCACGGTGGCATCATTAACAGACGTGACCAAAGAGGCGACAACACGCCGTCGAGCACAGGCGGATTCTCACCTGTAGTACGCTGCGTTTCGCGGTCCGGTCCCAAAGTCGTAGACGGGGTCACATTTGAGGTTGAAGACAGTGGCTTTGGCTGGCATGAAGCCATACACCACGCAGAACTCGGTGGAGCTTGGACTCCACGCCACGTCGTAGATTGGGCCGTTCTTCGCTGTTTCAAAGCGATAAAGAAAAGTCGTTACACAAACATTTCCTGTCGCTATCGCCATATTTTACCCCTCAGGTGACCAGCGCTGGCGCTGCAGCGAGAAGCTAAACTGGGAAGTAAAAGGAGGATTTACACAGCTGGACCAGCGCCGTCTCTCCGTTAACGCCGAGGTAATGCAGCGTCTGCTCTCCATAGTACGACGCGCCAGTTTTATCCACTTCAGTACTCGCCGTCACCAGCACGGCCGAGGCTGCGGGAAAGACAGGCAGGTTAACGTCAGCGCTCACAGGGGTCACGGTTCTAGCTGTCGGGACTCGGGACGCTTACCTTTCTTGTTCCACTGCATCATCACTCGGTCAGCCTTGAAGAAGCTCTTGTTGGCGAGCGCAGCAGTCGGCCCTCCAAACGCCGGGTACTGATACAGGCGGACGAACGAAGGAGCTCCTTTGCTGCCCGGAACGTAGACGGCGACCTGACGGAGACAGACGGTGGGTGGGACCATGTTCAGGTAGAATGAACTATGCTGCTGGACGCTCCGCTCACCTTGCTGGGCTGACCTCCAGGCGACAGCGCAAAGTCGGACACCTTCTGCATGTGGAGCTTGTTGGCGATGGAGTCTGGGAAAAACGATGGCGCAGACATCAGCTGCTGGTTTCACAGCGACAGAGCCGCTAGCTACCACTGCACGCGTCCTTACCAAAGTCGTTGTCCTCATAGAAGTGCAGCTCGTTGTTGACGATCCTCACGCAGATCTTCTCGTCTTCAGACCAGCTGGGACACCTGCAGACCACCACAGACATCAACACTGACAGGCAACAACCAATCAGTCGATCAATCAATCAGTCAGGGTGCGTCAGGACTCACCACGACTCAACCTTCTTCTGATAGAGGGCTTTGATGAGTCGTCCGCTGCGCAGCTCCCACAGCTGGAGGTTGGCTTCCCCCTGAGGACTGTCCTGAGTCTCTGCAGCGTCACAGAGTCAACTTTGTTTAAACAGCACCGTTCACACCGAACACACTGAAACACGCCAATCAGCAGAAAAACTGATAATTTAGATTCAGACACAGCAGCTTTCCTCCTTAAAAACCGTTATCTGCAGCAGGCCACACCCCCACACAAACTAAAGCCACGTGCCACTGACACCTGAAAGGGTCAGTGTGGGTTTAGCCCACACAGGAAATGTCCCTTTCCACCAGACTCCATTCACAAAAACAGTCATTTAACCTCAGAAAGTCTTTACCTGTGAATTTTTCTTACATAAAAAAGTAAAAACAGCTCCACCAGGTGTGCAGACAGCCCTCACCTGTAAACGCCTACAGAACTCACTTTCTTTGTTTGGATAAAATTAAACATGCCATGCTGCAGGAGAGAGGCTCCGTGCAGACACAGGCACACCTGCCTGCAGGAGTATCTGCGCAACCGGTCTAGTGTCACTGTCTCTGCGACTGAGCGTGAACTCCGAGTGCAGAGGAGAGTCTGCAAACAGCTGAGAAATGTTTATGTCACATGACATCAGTCTACCTGTCTGGGTGTAGAACGTAGGTGTCAAACTCTGGCCCGCGGGCCAAATTTGGCCCACAGCCTCATTACATTTGGCCCGCGAAGCCTATCTGACTATCAGAGCTGGCCTACTGGTATTATACAGCTAATATATATATTGTTTAGTATTAAGCTTTGCTTGTTCCATATTCAGTTTTTCAGCAAAACGTGTTTGAGTCCATAAGAAAAGATTCATTCTCATATCTGGAGGAATAAATATATTTCAATAAATATTAATGTTAGCCCGCGACTTTGTTCCAGTTTTGAATTTTGGCCGACTGTGTATCTGAGTTCGACACCCCTGATGTAGAAGGACTCGTGACCTCATGTGAACTTGTTTTATCTCTAATCTCTCTACGGACGTGAAACTCCCTCTTCTTCTCTTACTCGTGTACAGTTGCCAGGTAACCAGGATGTTGTTGAGTGGAGAAAATTCCAGCAGGGCTGTCTTCGGGAGGTCAAAGGTCGACACCACAGCGCCATCTGAGGGGTTCACGATGGAGACACTGATGTACAGGCAGACAGAGGGTTAGAGGTCAGACAGGGTGCAAGACAGATGTTACTCACAGGGATGGAGAAGCTCCTACTTTTGTCCGTTACACCAACCAAAGAGTGTCCCGTCTGTGCTGAAGGTCACACATCTGCTGGGCCGGCAGTCCCTGCCACACACACACACACACACACTGTAAACAAACAAACTGTGTCCGTGTGTGTTGGTGACAGGGTGTGTAGGGGGCAGGGTTACCTCTGGAAAGCTGCATGTGGCTCACAGTGGGGGGGGCCTCGGAGCAGAGACGTGCCATCGGATCCTCGCACTGAAACACAAACACACCAGAAGTATGTGGACGGCTCACTGACGCGTCTGTGACTCCTGAGCACTGACGTTAGCTCAGCGCTGTGAGGGACGGTCTCACCGTCATCGATGCTCTCTAATATTTTTGGACTTTTTTTAGTTGTTCATTCCTACAATGTTTATCCATAAGACCTCAAATGTAAAACTGATTTTCATCTGAGCTTTTATTTTATTTAACTGTCATTTGAATGTAAACATTTTAAGTTCTTTCTTTATGTTCGCTGGATTGTAGTCATACTGTTATGAGTCAACATGTCTTCGTGTTTACGGAGATTCTGAGAATCTGTGAGACTGAAATTAAATTACAAATTATTCTTGCACCTGTTACTGTGAACAGGTCAGATTAAAGCGGCTCGCTCCTTCAGCGGTGAGATGCTGTTGAAAACAGATGCTTTACATCAGAGGTGTCCAACTCCAGGCCTTGGGGGCGTGTCCTGCAGGTTTTAGATGTGTCAGCTGATTAAAGTGGCTAAATGACGTCCTCGCCATGTGTTGAGGTTCTCCAGAGGCCTGGTAACGAACTAATCATGTGATTCAGGTGTGCTGACCCAGGGTGAGAACCTGCCAACACCGGCCCCCGAGGCCTGGAGTTGCACACCCCTTTGGTTGCAGCACGGTGGTTAGCACTGTTGCCGCACAGCAAGAAGGTCCTGAGTTCAATTCCACCATCAGGCCGGGGTCTTTCTGTGTGGAGTTTGCATGTTCTCCCCGTGTTTGCGTGGGTTCCCTCCGGGTACTCCGGCTTCCTCCCACCGTCCAAAGACATGCAGCTTGTGGGGATAGGTTAATTGGAAAAATCCAAATTGCCACTAGGTGTGAATGTGAGTGTGAATGTGAGCGCGAATGGTTGTTTGTCCCTGCGACAGACTGGCGACCTGTCCAGGGTGGACCCCGCCTCTCGCCCTATGACAGCTGGGATAGGCTCCACCGCCCCCCGCGACCCTGAAAAGGATAAGCGGAAGCGAATGGATAGATGGGTTGCGACCATTGGTCTCAGATATCAACATAGTTTGGAATAAACCGAAGAGTAAAAGAGGCCCTGAAAGAGCTCCATTTAAAAATCCTTTAATATAACGAAATCACGATTGAACCAAAACAGTGTCACGTGAGTTTACAGCAAACGCGGCGTTTGAAGCGCACAGCATCGCCTCGCACATCGGCTCTAACACAGACCCTAACGTAGCTGCTGCTCTGCTGTTGTTAAGCTCTTTGTACCCGAAACCTCACTGACGTGAAACAGAAAACAGCGTGGTAAAATTCAACCAGCTCAGTTTTATTAACGGAAACACGCACGGGCGTTATTTTACAGCCGAATCAACCCAAAGACTCCACCGATTTAAAAACATACAACACTTTCATTGCGAGCGCACGTGACTTTGTTATATTCGCACAAATTAATATTTTATCCGATTCCTCACTGGGTTTGGCGGGCTGCTGGCTCTACCTAACAGCGCGGAGGCTTACGCTGGTCGTGGCGGATGTGTGACTTTGTGTCGTTGTCCGTGGGTTTTAAAAAGACAGACATTTTTATATAAATCAAAATAAACAAAAATGTACCCACCTGCCAGCAACGGGACGGGGGGCGCCATGTTTATTGTGCCGGAAGAAGAAAACAGCACCCCGGAAATGCTTCAGACCACCGAGAGGTGGGTCTATCAGCGCCACGTCAGCAGACAGTCAGTGACACGTCGTTAAAAACTGAAAAGAAGACGCTTACTTTATCATTTATTAACATGTAATTAACGATTCTCTGATAATCGCGAGCTTATAAGATCAGCCACGTTCAACAATTATCATTAAATATCATTTCTTTTTGATGTAAATTTGAGGTCAAAGTTGCATCAAAAATGTCGGAAACTGACTAAAAGGGATTCCGCTTTTGCTTTCAAAATAAAAGGCATCTGAAAGCGAAGGAAGGGTAGGAAAAATGAAGGACCTCAGTCGAAAGGTTTCATTTAAATCAGCTTTATAAAAACAACAGTTTAAACAGTAACACTGAAATGGCAGGTGGTGAGGGTGGGTAGATGCGTCTCTAACAGCATCACCATCAACACAGGAGCACCTCAGGGATGTGTCCTCTCGCCACTGCTCTACTCCCTCTACACTTCAGACTGTGTGGCCACCCATGGCTCCAACACCATTGTGAAGTTTGCTGACGACACAGTGGTG